TGTCCTTCACGGCATTGTACACGTCCATGACCTTTGCCTTGGGGACGGACGCCACAACGCGGCCCAAAGCCGCGTTCACCGCATCCCAATCCGCCCTAGAAGTCACACCGTTGGGACCTGAGATGCTTCCGATGGCCTTGTGATGGGCCTCCGCTGCTGCCTTCAAGAGCTTGGGGTCTGCTGCTGCGCCCATGTCAATCATCTTGTCAATCGCCTTGAGAGCTTGGAGAGGTTGGAACTTGCCAGGAGCTTGCAAGAAGATGCCGTTGTTCCAGTCCACTTCCTTCGCGAAGTCATAGGAAGCATCACCAAGCTTCTTAGCTGCGTCACCGATCTCATCGGCGAAAGCAGCTGGGGCCATCATCATGCCGGCTGCGGACGCAGCTGCGACTGGGGCAGCCGTCCTGCGAAGCGGCCCGGGCACGAAGCCGGAGCGGGAGAGGCCGCATGCCAGCAACGCAGCCACAGCGCAAGCAGCGACCTTCCTCGTGGAGCGCGCCATTCGCAAGAGAGCAAGAGGAGAAGCTCTTGGTCAAGAGTATGCTCGAAGCACAAAATGCTTTGCGAGGTTGAAGCAGCGTCGAATGTAGAGCCGGCTGATATGGAATTCGCCGTGGCTATGAGGCCGTACTAAGTCATCACCTCTTCAATCCTCCAACAAAGAAATTTACGCGCAACCTTGCCACCTTGCCGTGACTACCTTTTTCTTGGGGGGGGGGGAGGAATTGGGTCCGCAACACCACCAGACCCGAAACTTTGAACTACCCCAAGTCCGAGACACCTGCCGGCAAATACCGCAACTCCAAACTCCCGAAGAAATCTTTCCAATTAAAACCTAAAACTCAAGCGGTTGCAAAATCTGTACCAAAGCGACCAGCGCAGAAACTGCCGTCAAGACTGTCCACGAAGAACGTGCCATGATTCCTAGAGATGTACGGGTACTGGGCTGTGGGCAGCCAATGGAGTATGGCAAATAACCCTCCTTCACTAAACCAAAGCAAGAATAAGCTGCGAACGCCGCGCCTGCAGATCTCAAGCCCATTTAGCACTGCTTCAAGGAACAACACTGTCGTCAATCGCTAACGACCCACCATTCTTCGGCACTGTACAGTTTAAAAAAGTGTAAGTTGGCAACAATTAAATAGAGTCGTGGTCCTCAAAGGGCCCGACAACTCGATGCCATCGCACCCGGCCAAAATCTCTCATCAGCGCTGCGACGCCGCCACCACATCCTTGAAGGTGTAGAAACCCTTTGCAGCGGCGGCTGCATCAAGAGGATTCACCTTGGAGAACATGTTGTTGGGAATGGATCCATCCACAATTCCGGCCATGGAGTTGTACACGTCCATCACGGTGGCCTTTGGCACTGATGCGACAATGCGCCCGATCGCTGCGTTCACTGCCTCGTAATCCGCAGCAGACGTCACTCCCTTGGCGTCGACACTGCCAATGGCCTTGTGGTGCGCCTCAGCGGCAGCCTTCAGAAGGTTTCCGTCCATCTGGCTGCCCATCACGATCATCTTGTCAATGGCGGTCATCACCTTCGGGGCTGTGGTGCCTGGCAGCGGCTTCAGGTAAACATCGGACAGCCAGTCCACCTGAGGGCACGCGCACAAACCCAGCATGCTCGGTCAAAAGAAACCCATTGCAAAACCCTTAGGAACTGGCTCTGGCATGGGGACTCAAGTGATGTCTCTCATTTGTCTTCAGCAAAAAACTGTTCTTCTTTGCCATCCTGCACCTCCTTCAAGAAAGGGTAAGATGCATCCGAAAGGGCCTTCGCCGCTGCACCAATCTTGTCCCCAGTGGGCACAGTGGCCGGAGCACCAACCGCAGACACTTGGTTCCTTGGAATGTTTCAGGAGTTCATCTGAAAAGATGCTGAATATAGAAGCACCGCAGATGCAGAACGACATGGGAATGCTAAGATCGTCAAAAATAGATCTGAATCAACTCCAATGCTCTTTTCCACCACATCCTTGAACTCCAAGAAGCCCTTGTATGCCTTCTCGGCATCCGCACCGTTGACCAAAGACTTCATGTACCCCGGCACGGCAGGGTCAGTGATGTCCTTCACGGCATTGTACACGTCCATGACCTTTGCCTTGGGGACGGACGCCACAACGCGGCCCAAAGCCGCGTTCACCGCATCCCAATCCGCCCTAGAAGTCACACCGTTGGGACCTGAGATGCTTCCGATGGCCTTGTGATGGGCCTCCGCTGCTGCCTTCAAGAGCTTGGGGTCTGCTGCTGCGCCCATGTCAATCATCTTGTCAATCGCCTTGAGAGCTTGGAGAGGTTGGAACTTGCCAGGAGCTTGCAAGAAGATGCCGTTGTTCCAGTCCACTTCCTTCGCGAAGTCATAGGAAGCATCACCAAGCTTCTTAGCTGCGTCACCGATCTCATCGGCGAAAGCAGCTGGGGCCATCATCATGCCGGCTGCGGACGCAGCTGCGACTGGGGCAGCCGTCCTGCGAAGCGGCCCGGGCACGAAGCCGGAGCGGGAGAGGCCGCATGCCAGCAACGCAGCCACAGCGCAAGCAGCGACCTTCCTCGTGGAGCGCGCCATTCGCAAGAGAGCAAGAGGAGAAGCTCTTGGTCAAGAGTATGCTCGAAGCACAAAATGCTTTGCGAGGTTGAAGCGGCGTTGAATGTAGAGCCGGCTGATATGGAATTCGCCGTGGCTATGAGGCCGTACTAAGTCATCACCTCTTCAATCCTCCAACAAAGAAGTTTACGCGCAACCTTGCCACCTTGCCGTGACTACCTTTTCTTGGGGGGGGGGGAGGAATTGGGTCCGCAACACCACCAGACCCGAAACTTTGAACTACCCCAAGTCCGAGACACCTGCCGGCAAATACCGCAACTCCAAACTCCCGAAGAAATCTTTCCAATTAAAACCTAAAACTCAAGCGGTTGCAAAATCTGTACCAAAGCGACCAGCGCAGAAACTGCGGTCAAGACTGTCCACGAAGAACGTGCCATGATTCCTAGAGATGTACGGGTACTGGGCTGTGGGCAGCCAATGGAGTATGGCAAATAACCCTCCTTCACTAAACCAAAGCAAGAATAAGCTGCGAACGCCGCGCCTGCAGATCTCAAGCCCATTTAGCACTGCTTCAAGGAACAACACTGTCGTCAATCGCTAACGACCCACCATTCTTCGGCACTGTACAGTTTAAAAAAGTGTAAGTTGGCAACAATTAAATAGAGTCGTGGTCCTCAAAGGGCCCGACAACTCGATGCCATCGCACCCGGCCAAAATCTCTCATCAGCGCTGCGACGCCGCCACCACATCCTTGAAGGTGTAGAAACCCTTTGCAGCGGCGGCTGCATCAAGAGGATTCACCTTGGAGAACATGTTGTTGGGAATGGATCCATCCACAATTCCGGCCATGGAGTTGTACACGTCCATCACGGTGGCCTTTGGCACTGATGCGACAATGCGCCCGATAGCTGCGTTCACTGCCTCGTAATCCGCAGCAGACGTCACTCCCTGGGCGTCGACACTGCCAATGGCCTTGTGGTGCGCCTCAGCGGCAGCCTTCAGAAGGTTTCCGTCCATCTGGCTGCCCATCACGATCATCTTGTCAATGGCGGTCATCACCTTCGGGGCTGTGGTGCCTGGCAGCGGCTTCAGGTAAACATCGGACAGCCAGTCCACCTGAGGGCACGCGCACAAACCCAGCATGCTCGGTCAAAAGAAACCCATTGCAAAACCCTTAGGAACTGGCTATGGCATGGGGACTCAAGTGATGTCTCTCATTTGTCTTCAGCAAAAAACTGGTCTTCTTTGCCATCCTGCACCTCCTTCAAGAAAGGGTAAGATGCATCCGAAAGAGCCTTCGCCGCCGCACCAATCTTGTCCCCAGTGGGCACAGTGGCCGGAGCACCAACCGCAGACACTTGGTTCCTTGGAATGTTTCAGGAGTTCATCTGAAAAGATGCTGAATACAGAAGCACCGCAGATGCAGAACGACATGGGAATGCTAAGATCGTCAAAAATAGATCTGAATCAACTCCAATGCTCTTTTCCACCACATCCTTGAACTCCAAGAAGCCCTTGTATGCCTTCTCGGCATCCGCACCGTTGACCAAAGACTTCATGTACCCCGGCACGGCAGGGTCAGTGATGTCCTTCACGGCATTGTACACGTCCATGACCTTTGCCTTGGGGACGGACGCCACAACGCGGCCCAAAGCTGCGTTCACCGCATCCCAATCCGCCCTAGAAGTCACACCGTTGGGACCTGAGATGCTTCCGATGGCCTTGTGATGGGCCTCCGCTGCTGCCTTCAAGAGCTTGGGGTCTGCTGCTGCGCCCATGTCAATCATCTTGTCAATCGCCTTGAGAGCTTGGAGAGGTTGGAACTTGCCAGGAGCTTGCAAGAAGATGCCGTTGTTCCAGTCCACTTCCTTCGCGAAGTCATAGGAAGCATCACCAAGCTTCTTAGCTGCGTCACCGATCTCATCGGCGAAAGCAGCTGGGGCCATCATCATGCCGGCTGCGGACGCAGCTGCGACTGGGGCAGCCGTCCTGCGAAGCGGCCCGGGCACGAAGCCGGAGCGGGAGAGGCCGCATGCCAGCAACGCAGCCACGGCGCAAGCAGCGACCTTCCTCGTGGAGCGCGCCATTCGCAAGAGAGCAAGAGGAGAAGCTCTTGGTCAAGAGTATGCTCGAAGCACAAAGTGCTTTGCGAGGTTGAAGCGGCGTCGAATGTAGAGCCGGCTCATATTCATTTTGCCCCACCCCTATATGTGGGATCCCACACCCTAGCCATGCAGTCCACAAGTCTGCACCAAGCAACCCAGCAAGAAAAAGCAGAGGCTTTGCCAACAATTCTTTTGTGGATCCGGGTAAAGCCTCACTCCAACGTGAAGCCGGCGCGGCTTTCGCCAGACGCCGACGACTCTTTCAATCCCCCTAAACCCTAAACCCTAAACCCTAAACCCTAAACCCTAAACCCTAAGCCCTAACAGCAAACCCTCCCTGAGCCCACTCAGCGGAAGCCCTGGTTCGCCAGCATGAAGGGCTGCTCCAGCACATCCGCGACAAGTCCGAACCATTCTGCCTCCTGGCCATGACGTGGAGGGTTGTTAGGGTTTAGGGTTTAGGGTTCGTATAGGATTTGTATAGGGTTTAGGGTTTAGGGTTTAGGGTTTAGGGTTTCGGGTTTAGGGTTTAGGGTTTAGGGTTTTGGGGTTTAGGGTTTAGGGTTTAGGGTTTAGGGTTTAGGGTTTAGGGTTTAGGATTTAGGGTTTAGGGTTTAGGGTTTAGGGTTTAGTGGGGTTCAGGGTCTAGATTTTTGGGATTACACGGCTCACGGTTCAGGGCGTAAGTTCAGGGAAAGAAGGTGCAGGGATGATGGTTTCAGGGTTAAGGGATGAGGGAGGGTTCAAGCTTCAGCGTTCAGGGTGGCTACCTAGGGAGCTCAGAAGCAGAACGTTCGCGGGTTTCCTACATTTCCTAGAATACTATACGGGCCTGAGAAATGAGAATAGGGTCCTGGGGAATATTGGGAGTATAAATATGTAAGGAACCATAAGGGAATATTATTCGTCAAATACCACCTGTGCCCCTCTAAACCCTAAACCCTAAACCTTAAACCCTAAACCCTATTTTTCCGACCCCCATATTCCTCCCTCCTTGAAAGAGGAAACTTGGTTTTGGGTTGTCTCGGTCGGGTGACATCATGTGGCTGGTTGGGGTTTAGGGCTTGGGGCTTAGGGTTTGGGATTTTGGGCTTTAGGATGATATTTAGGGTTTAGGATATTTAGGGTCTAGGGTTTAGGATTTAGGGTTCAGGGTTTAGGATTCAGGATACTTGGGGTTCAGGATACTTACTGTTTAGGGTTCTGGATGGTTAGGGATCAGGATTTCGGCCGCTCCTTCGTGTGGAAGTTGCAGAGAAGGAAAGCCACACCTGGCCCGCTCCGTAGATCAGGCTTTGGGGCGGGGGGGTGGGGGGTTAGGGTTTAGGGTTTGGGTTCAGGGTTTAGGGTTGAGGGTTCTGAGGGGTTGGGTTCAGGGGTTTGGGGCTTTCGGGTTTCTGGTTGAAGGGCACATTGAGCCTTCCCAGAGCTCAGCGTTCAGACTTTCTCTCCCCTAAGTATGTAAAGAAAAAGGTAGAAAGCCACTTCAGCCCTAAACCCTAAACCCTAACCCTAAACCCCAAACCCTGAACTCTAAACCCTGAACCCTAAACCGTAAGCCCTCACAGCCCTAAGACCTAAGCCCGAAGCTCTAAAGAGCCATGTCAGCCCTGAGCCGAAGCGGCACCCCTCCCCTCAAGAAGCCCAAGGCCCAAAGGCACGCTTTGAGTCACAAGAAAGAGGTAAATATCAGGGTTTGGGATTTAGGGTTTAGGGCCTCAACCCTAAACCCTTAACCCCTACACCCCCAGAAAAAAAATGCCAGAAACGCAGCCCGAGAAGCGTCGCTGGTTGAACTGCAAGAGCAGCGGCTCGTGGGAGAGGCCGGGGATGCTGAGCAGCAGAAAGTCATCCAGCAGGCCCGGGTCCTTTTGCAAGGGCTTTTTCGGTGTTTAGGGTTTAGGGTTTGGGGTTTAGGGTTTAGGGTTTAGGGTTTAGGGCTTAGGGTTTAGGGTTTAGGGTTTAGGCGGTTTAGGGTGTTTAGGGTTGAGAGTCTGGCCATTCCATTTGTCCCTCCGTTTAGGGGCGACTCCCTCAAGCCCTCTTTGCCGGGGATTGGGGCATTCACCTTCTTAGGGAAGCTAAACCCTGAACCCTACACCCTAACCCGGAGGGGGGCCGGCCCCCTCCGGGTTAGGGTGTAGGGTTCAGGGTTTAGCTTCCCTAAGAAGGTGAATGCCCCAATCCCCGGCAAAGAGGACTTGAGGGAGTCGCCCCTAAACGGAGGGACAAATGGAATGGCCAGACTCTCAACCCTAAGCCCTAAACCCTAAACCCTAAACCCTCCCCCTGTAACCAACCCACTCCAACCAACCCCCTCTGAACCCTCAAAGCCCCCCGCAGACGGGGCAGGGCTAGGGTTCGGGGGTTGGGGTTTTTGTTGCGATTCAGGGCGTCAAAAACCTGAGGCCCTAACCCTCCCCCCCGCCAAAAAAAACAATGAAAAAACAAAAGTTCTGAAGCGCAAGACCCAAAGACCGCTAAACCCCAAACCCTGGCACCCTTAAGAAATGTTCCCTTGGCCCCTCCTGCGGCAATCTCCAGGCACCGTCGCTCCACTGGGAGGACTGGAGACTCCCATCCGGGAGGAAGCCTTTTTGGGTTTAGGGCTTTGGGTTTAGGGTTTAGGGTTTGGGGTTTGGGGTTTAGGGCTTAGGGCTGAGGGCTTAGGGCTTAGGGCTTAGGGTATGGGCCCTCCATTTGGGTCCCCTGTTGTATGCACTATACATAGTAAGAATTTGGTCCCCTTTTATGTAACCCTTATATACACTATACATAATGAGGAAGCCTTTTCGCGGTTTTTGGTGGTTAGGTTAAGGCTTAAGTTTAGGGTTTTTTGGGTTTGGGGGTTTGGGGGTTTTGGCGTCGGGCTGTTGGCTTAAGATTTTTGGTCCACGGTTTTGGGTTTGGGGCTGAGGGTCCAGGGTTTAGGGTTTAGGGTTTGGGTTTGGGGTTTAGGGTTTGGGGTTTGGGGTTTGGGGTTTGGGGTTTGGGGTTTGGGGTTTGAGTTAGGGCTTGGGGTTTGGGGTTTGGGGTTTGGGGTTTGGGGTTTGGGGTTTGGGGTTTGGGGTTTGGGGTTTGGGGTTTGGGGTTTGAGTTGGGGCATGCTTTGGCCTGGACATCCCGCCCGGGCCTCCTGCCCTGACCGGAGGAGTTGCGAGAGGGTAGCGAGGGGCGTGGGGGGGGCCCTGAATTCAATCACCCTAAACCCTAAACCCTAAACCCTAAACCCTAAGGCCTATGAGGGCCCTTGCTTTGGGCTCACGACGGCTTAGGGTCTATGCAGGCCTTTTGGCTCAGGTTTCTGGATGTAGCGTGGTGTGGCTTCTTATGTATGAGGCTGAGGGTTCTTAAAGGATGCTGAAGGATCTGGGATTTAATGTTTAGGGGTTTAGGGCTTGGCGTTTAGGGTTTAGGGTTTAGGGGATTAGGGCTTTACTTAGGGTGTCGGGTTTAGGGCAGGTCTTTGGGCTTTGTTACCCTGAACCCTAGTACCCTAACAGGGCTCAGGGCTTCAGTTGTTCGAAAGGACTGCTGCCCAAGAGGCGCATGTAGCCCGAGGGGTGCATGTTCAGCGGAAGCCTGTACAACAGATGGGGTTTAGGGCTTAGGGGTTTAGGGTTTAGGGTTTAGGGCTTGTACCCGTTTTTGGGAGCAAGAATGAGGATTATAGCATTTTGGGGTATGCAAGGTGGTGGGTCCACTATTTGGAGCAATACCAAGATGACATACGCAAAACGTGTCTCTTCCAGCCCCTTCTAACCCTAAACACCCCTAAACCCTTGACCCTAAAACCCTAAACCCTGAACGCTAAAACTCTAAGCCCTAAACCCTACACCCCTAAACCCGAAACCACCCTGAAACCCCAGAACAGAAGGGAGGCCGCCTGTAGACGTAGAAGCTGCAACCCTAAACCCTAAACCCCGAACCCTAAACCCTAAAACCTAAACCCTAAACCCTGAAACCCCACCAGAAGGGGGCCGCCTGTAGACGTAGAAGCTGCGGTTGAGGAAGCTCTGCTTCAGAAGCTGCCCGAGGTTCCCGTGACCAGCTTGGCAGATCCGACCCTCTGAACGGTTCACCCGGGAGGACCGTACCTAGGATGGGGTTTAAGGCTTAGGGCTTAGGGTTTAGGGTTTAGGGTTTAGGGTTCAGGGTTTAGGGCTTAGGGCTTAGGGCTTAGGGTTTTAAAGAAAATATCTCAATGGCCTGCCTAGGTACGTACCAGTGCCTTCCATCCCAGCCAGCGCCCAGGGCCTCACCTCAACTTGGCTGTAGGGCTGAGGGTTGAAGGGAGGTCGGGTTTCGGGTTTCGGATTTCGGGTTTAGGGTTTAGGGTTTAGGGTTTAGGGTTCAGGGTTCAGGGTTCAGGGTTTAGGGTGTAGGGTGTAGGGTTTAGGGTTTAGGGTTTAGGGTTTAGGGTTTAGGGTTTAGGGTTTAGGGTTTAGGGTTTAGGGTTTAGGGTTTAGGGTTGAAGGGAGGTAAACTTCTCCGGTTGCTTGTGTCACAGATGGAAACAACTCCTTCCAGCTACAGTTCACCCTAAACCACTAAACCCTAAACCCCGTAAAGCCCTAAACCGCTGAACCCCTAACCCCTAAACCCAGAACCCTGAAACGCTAAACCCTAAACCCCCAAAACCCTAAACCCCTGAACCCCTGAACCCCTGAACCCCGAAACCCCTAGACCCTAAACCCCAAACCCTAAACCCTAAACCCCCAAACCCTAAGCCCTAAACCCCAAACCCCAAAACCTCAAACACGACAAAGGCCAGTCACAGTTCACCAGAACACCGGCCTCCTCAAGCTCGGTCACCTTGGTTGAGCCCCGAACCCATAGTCTCACAAGGCTGCAAATCCCGACCCGCATCCCATCGAGCGAGAAGCAGATCCCCAAAGAAGACACATCAATATGCTCAGCAAACCAAGTGATCAAGCTGCAAGGCGTGCATTCCTCGCCGCAAAACGTGCCGAAATACTCGTAGCTGTACAGCGAATGTGTGACGAGTAAGAATCAGTTTAGGGTAGTTTGGGGTAGTTTAGGGTAGTTTAGGGAAGTTTAGGGTAGTTTAGGGTAGTTTAGGGTCTAGGGTTTGGGGAACTTACACTAGAAACCCCGATCTGCCGAGTCACGGCTCGGTGCACGGAGTCTTGGAAGTAGTCGTCGAAGACCAGAAACCTCGACCCTCGACCTAAACCCCAAACCCCAAACCCTAAACCCCAAACCCTAAACCCTAAACCCCAAACCCGAAACCTCAAACCCTAAACCCCAAACCCTAAACCCCAAACCCTAAACCCCTATCCCTAAACCCTAACCCCTAAACCAGAATCCTCAACCCTAAACCCTGAACTTTATTGGGTGTTGAGAATTTCGGGCTTGAGGGGCTTCAGGGGCTGTTAGGGGTTTGAGGGCTTTTGGGGCTTTGGGGCTTTGGGGCTTTGGGGGTTTAGCGCTTATGGGGTTTTGAGGGTTTGGTAGCACTCAATATCAGCTCCATGGTAGAAGCACAAAGCCCTCCCAAACCAGAAGCCCAGAAACCGGAGTGACGGGAAGTAGCTCAGCGCATTGCGCACGCCCGAGAGCACGGCCTGGTAGTCATGATTCCTGGGTTGTTCTGCGCTTGTTCGAGTTTAGGGTTCATTCGAGTTTAGGGTTCAGGGTTTAGGGGTCAGGGTTTCGGGTTCAGGGTTTAGGGTTCAGGGTTTCGGGTTCAGGGTTTAGGGTTTAGTTAGGGTTGATGTTGTGAATTCTTCTGTACATGTCCACACTTGGCTGCATTGCGCCGAGAGCCTGGAGCATGTCGTGTTAAGTGTCTGCACAGCAACCACATTGCTGGGGCCCTGCCCTACAAAGCCGCGAGACTCAAGGACGAGTTGAGTCAGGGTTTTGGGGGGGGGCTTCAGCTGGAGGACACCCTAAACCCTAAACCCTGAATGCTAGATGCTAAACCCTAAACCGAACCTCTATGTTTGGGATTAGAGGAAGTTGCAAGTACACTTAGTTGTCCCTGCCGGGTCACACCAGCAATGCTGGGTTGCTGTGCAGTTATTGCCTGGTGCCTTGTGGTAGTTTAGGGCTTTGGGTTTAGGGCAGAGGGTCGTGAGTCGTGGATTCAAGCTCCGTAACCGCAGCCCAGACTCGCGCCGACGAGGACCACGCTCACATCGTTGCTGGCTATCGCCTGCCAATCAGCGGCTCGAAGATCCAAAGACAGCAGAAACACGTTTGCCAGCTCGCCGACGTGCCTCGCCGCCATGTCCAAGGAGGATTTCAGGATGTCCACGGCGATGACCTCTCTACTCCCCTTAGAACCTTAATAACAATAATGCTTACTATCCTCTTGCGTTTTATATAAACAAAAACAGAAAAATGATTCCCAAGGGGGATATAGACCTTGCGAAAGATGGCCGCCAAGACGGCCGTGGTGTGGCCATGGTGCGTCCCCAGCTCCAGAACTGTCATGCCAGCCCCGTGCTCACAGAAATGCTCGGCCAGCTGGCTCTTGAAGATGTGGCTGCTGGTGGTGGCCATCCCTTTGCCGTCCGGCGCCCGGCGGATCTGGGCCTGCGCAGCCGCCTGGCAGCTTCCGGAGCTGCCGCTGGAGCGACCCGCCGCCAGCACCACGAGCGAGAGCCCGAGCGGAAACCCGGCGCGGCAGATCCGCATCCCAGGAGCCGGCTCGCGCAGGCGCAGGGATGCGAAGCAGCGAACATGCTTCGCGCGGCTGCCGGAACAGCCCCCCCCCCCCCCCCCCCCAAAGTGCGTTAACTCCCACCCCTCCCGCAAGCCGGTCTATCTGAATCTTGGTCTCGAGGGCTGCAAAAATTGTGAGAAGGGATTTTGCTTTTTTTTAGGGGGGGGGGGGGGTAGGGTTTAGAGTTTAGGGGCTTAGGGTTCTGGAGGTTTGGGGGTTGGGGGTTGGGGTTTGGGGTTTTTTGGTTTGGGTGAGGGCTTGGGGAGAGGTGGGCTTAGGTTTGTGGGGTCTCGAGGTTCAGAGACTGGGGAGGCTTCAGGGCCCAGATGAGGTAAGGTTTCAATTGCTAGTTACAGTACCCACTCACTTAGATCTAGAACGAACCGAAAAAACTCACGCACCAAGAGCAGTATTTTACACAAACCGAAACCCTAAACGCTAAACCCGCAGCCCACATGACTCAAACAAGTCCCCAGCACTGGCACCCCTCTGGATTCTCACGACGGGCACAAAACCTCCGAAACCCTTCCTAAACCAGAAACCCTAAACCCAAAACCCTAAACCCGAAACCCTAAACCCTAAACCCTAAACCTTAAACCCAAAACCCTAAACCCCCCCCGTGGATCGCAAGGACACGGCCTCTCGCTGGCTCGGTCCTGGGTGCACCTGGCGATCCCCCCGGGCCCGAAAAAACAAACTCGCAAAGAATCCTGGCAGTGTAGGTCTTAGGGTTTAGGGTTTAGGGTTTAGGGTTTAGGGTTTAGGGTTTAGGGTTTAGGGTTTAGGGTTTTGGGTCTTGGGTCTAGGGTCTAGGGTTTAGGGTTTAGGTTTAGGGTTTAGGGTTGATAGGGGTCGGAATAACTACTAATATTATTCGCTTATGGTCGCTTGATGACTATACAAAAACAACCCCCAAACCCTATTCCAATTACTAAGGCTTTTTTCGGGCGGTTCGGGGTTTAAGATTTAGGGTTACACACCTTTTTCAGGGTTTAGGGTTTAGGGTCTAAGGTTTTAGTCTGAGAACTCTTGGCACCCTATGTAGAATCCGTCAGAAGGGTTTGATGGGGAGATACAAGGTACCAGTTTCCTCCTTTCCCTCCCTGCAACCAGCATGTAAGCCCAGAAACGGGACCCAAAGGTTCGGTTTAGG